GTCTTTTCCAACCAGGTTGATTTTATGTTTCTATGATTCTATGACTATCCTGCTCCAGTGCTGACATTCCCTGGCAAACATCACGCTGCAATGAGCTTCGTCTGTGGAGCATCGCCATGGCCAGGGAAGCGTTTCCACACCTGCACTCACAGGGCGATAAAGAAACGAACCAGCTAAAAGCTTCCGCGCATATTCCTAGACCATGGCTAGGAAATGTCTGTCCTGGAGTGCCATCTCCTGGCTGAGCCTGAGCTGGATCCTGACCTGGAAGTCTTCCAGGCCAGATTGCATAGGGTTTGGAGCAACCTGGGCTGGTGGGCGGTGTCCCTGCCCAGGGCAGGGGGTGATCTTGAAGGTACTTTCACCTGAAAGCATTCCAGGATCCTGGAGCCTCTCTGCCCTGGATCCAGGCTGGGAGAGCTGGGGGTGTCCAGCCTGGAGAAGAGAAGCTCCAGGGAGACCTCAGAGCCCCTTCCAGTGCCTCAAGGGGCTCCAAGGGAGCTGCAGAGGGACTTGAGACAAGGGATGGAGGGACAGGACACAGGGAATGGCTTCCCAGTGCCAGAGGGCAGGGACAGATGGGATATTGGGAAGGAATTCCTCCCTGTGAGGGTGCTGAGGCGTTGTGATGTGTTTCCCAGAGGATGCTCCATCCCTGGGAGTGTTCCAGGCCAGGCTGGACAGGGCTTGGAGCAACCTGGGCTGGTGGGAGGTGTCCCTGCCCATGGCAGGTGTGGGATTGGATGAGCTTTAAGGTCCTTCCAACCCAACCAGTCCAGGATTCTCTAATGTCCCATATCCCACCCCTCCCACCCTGAATTCCCAGGTGGAAAAGAGCTGCCATGGAGCAGCAGAAAGCCAAGAGGAGAAAGCTGAGTTCATATAAACAATGTTTGCTCCACATCAGCCTTTGAAGCAATTTATTCCTTTATTTGAGGCTAAAGTTTACAAGTTAAGAAGAATCATATTGTTTATCCTTCCATCCATCCATCCATCCATCCATCCCAGCACCATTATGGTCCATGTTTGCTTAGGGAACAGGAGGAGTGAAGATGAGGCTGAATATTTCCCAACCCAGCCCTTCTCGTCAAGGTTTCTCTTAGTGATTTTCCAAAGGAATAAGCACCAAAAGTGCTTCAGATTTGGGAAGCTGAGAGACAATTTGGGGAGGGAAGGACCAAAAATGGAATAGAATGGGAGAAGTTCAAATTTTCTAGAGGAAAACGAGGAAAGGACTTGCTAGGAAATGGATAGTGATGTGGTAGAGCTGCTGGAGGGGATTGAGAGGTCAGTGGGGAGGAGCTGAGGGAATGATCTTCTCCAGCTGTTCCCACAGATGATGAGAAGCTCAACACCAGTGGGGAGAAGATTCACCAACTCTCTCAGTCCTTCTCCTGCCTGAGATGATAGTGTGAGGGCTGCAAAGCAAGTGCTGAGGAAGAGGATGGTGAAGGGCTTGGAATAAAAGCAGGAAGAGCAGGTGAAAAGAAGGATTTATCCCACAGGGAAAAGGATGTCTCAGCTCCATCTCCAAGGGATGGAAAACACCTCATTGCAGAAAGAGAGTGCCCAAAGAAACCCCAAAGCAACAAACTGCTCTAGGATTTATCCATGAGGAAAATCCCAACGAGGCCAAAGTCACATTTTCCAGGCATAATGCAAACTAATCCCTCTTTTCCTGCATGGAATTGCAGCCCAGGGATGCTGGTGGTGGTGATGTGGAAGCTGTAGATGAGCCATGGAGTGCAGCAGTTGCGGGAGACAGGAGAGGACGTGTGGACCTTAGATGAGCCATGGAGTGCAGCAGTTGTGGGAGACAGGAGAGGATGTGTGGACACTGCAGGACAACCTGGGACTTGGCAGGAACAGCCAACCAAAAGCCAAGTGAGCCTCAGAACAAACTGGTTTTGCCAGGAGAAAACCTTCTGGCATCAGAGGGAATGGCAAAATGAGCTGCTGGTGACTTCTCCCAGCACGAGTGTCACTGGGAATGTGCAGTTAGGGAAGCAGAAGTGGCTCCTTACCCCATGGAGCTGAGGGAAACATCAGCACTAACAGCTACAAGGTCATGGTGGTTCATCTCCTTGGGGTTTGGACACCATCTGATGCCCAAGTTGAGCATTTGGTGCAAGAGAAATCCCATTCCATGGCTCAGAGCTCAGTTGTCCATCAGAAATCCCTGTGAGTGTTGAGTCCCCTTGCTCTGGGCTGTTCTTGGTGACTTCCCTTCTCCTCCTAACCCCTTCACCCACTGCTTCGGGTCCATCCAGCACTGCCCACCCTACTGGGACATCCACATGGATTCGTGAGGCAACCAAGGAACTCATCCAGCTCCAATATCACTCCTCATTTCTTTTTTGCCTGCTGATTTCAGCCAGAGAAATCCCAGATCTGGGAATGGCTCCAACCCTCAGATCCAACCTGATAGATCTATGGTGGGTGAGGAGGAATTGTTTCAAATGGATTAGGAGAAGAAGGAGTTGACCTCAACTTCATCCCTGGACAAGTGGGTGCCACCAAGCAAAGCTTTTCCTGTCATTTTGCCCTTTCTCCTCTTGAATAGATAGATGAGGGAAATCTGTTAATGTGGGAATTCTGCTCCAACATGGATGGAGAAGAGCCATGTGAAGCAGCTGAGCATCCAATAAACCACACCAGACTGATGGGCAGGGCAGAGAGGTAAGAAAGATGATATTTATTTGAACAGCCACAGGAGATCAGAGATTGAAAAAAAAAAAGACCTAAAAGAATAGAAAAAAAAAAAAAAAGAGAATAAAGCAGCAGCATATTTGGTTTAAAAAAAGAAATCATCAGAGCATGCAGAGCTTGGATTCCTTCTCCAGCCATTCCCACCACACTGCCCAGTCCTGCTATGGCCTCAACCATCATGGCTTCAACCATTATTTTTTGAGGCTTTCACCATCATTTTTGGGGTCTTAATCATCATTTTTGGGGCCTCAACCCTCATTTTTTGGCCTTGTCTCGAGGGTAACCCCCATTGGTCTTATTGAGGGACTCCATGCTGCCATTGCCTGTGACCACACTGGCCAAGAGCTTCTCCACCTCCCCAGGAAGGATTTGCTTCTCCTCATTCTCTGTCTCCCTGTGGTAGAAGTAGTTGAAGTTGGAGACAATGACAGGGACAGGCAGAGCTATGGTCAACACTCCTGCAATGGCACAAAGAGTCCCCACAATCTTCCCCCCCAGGGTGGTGGGACACATATCTCCATAGCCCACGGTGGTCATGGTGACCACAGCCCACCAGAAACCATCAGGAATGCTGGAGAAATGGGATTGAGGCTCATCCACCTCAGCAAAGTAGACAGCACTGGAGAAGAGGATGACCCCAATGAAGAGGAAGAAGATGAGCAAACCCAGCTCCCTCATGCTAGCCTTGAGGGTCTGCCCCAAGATCTGCAGCCCCTTGGAGTGCCTGGAGAGCTTGAAGATCCTGAAGACCCTGACGAGGCGGATGATCCTCAGGATGGCCAAGGACATGTTCTGCTGCCCGTTGAGTTCACTCTGCTGAATGAGCTCAGTGGTGAGGGTCACGAAGTAGGGGATGATGGAGACGATGTCAATGATGTTCATGATGTTCCTGAAGAACTCAGTCTTGCTGGGGCACACGACGAAGCGCACGAAGAGCTCGAAGGAGAACCAGACGATGCAGGCAGTCTCTATGACGAAGAAAGGGTCTGTGAAGGTGCTGTGGGCCACCAAGGTGTCTGTCATGTTCTTAGAGAGCTCCTGGGTGGACTTAAACTCCCTTTCCTCACGGAATTCTGGCAAGGTCTCCATGCAGAAGATGATGATGGAGATGACAATGACCAGGACAGAGACCAAAGCAACTCCCCTGGCTGCACTGGAGCTTTCAGGGTACTCAAAGAGCAGCCAGAACTGCCTGTGAAAGTCATTGGTTGGCAAGAGGGTCTCAGGATCCTTGATGAACCCTTCATCCTCCCTGAACTGGTCCATGGCTTCATCCCCCAACTCGTAGAAGGTGATCTCATCAGCGAAGACGTCGATGGGGACGTTAGCAGGACGTCGGATCTTCCCCCCAGACTGGTAGTAGTACAGGATCCCATCAAAACTGGGCCTGTTCCTGTCAAAGAAATACTCATTCCTCATGGAGTCAAAGTATCTCATCCTCTTCTCAGGGTCCCCAAGCAACGTCTCGGGGAACTGGTCAAGGGTCTTGAGCCTCGTCTCAAACCTCAGCCCAGCGATGTTGATGATGACCCGTTGGTCTCCCTCATCCATGCCCACCCTCTCCCCCACCAGGTGGTCACTGAACTCTGTGGAGAACCTGGAGAAGATGGTCTCATTGTTGGCGTTCTCGCTGTTGATGAGGATCCTGAGGTTGGAGAGGAGGTTGGCGCAGCTGGGATGGCCCTTCCGGGACTGCCCCGCGGGGCTGAGCTCGTTGGAGTAAGAGGGATCCTCCACGATCTGATCCGTGTTGTCAAAGCTGACTAGTGCCACCTCCATCTCCTTCCAACTCGCCACGTCCATCATACACTAATCAGCTTAGCCAGGAGCGGCTGCCGGCGGCACCCGACGTTCCCACGCTAGGAGGATCTGCAAGGGAAGGGACAGGGACACAGCTTAGTTCTGCAGGTGGAGGCAGAGAATGGGGCACAGCGTGGCAAGGGATTGGCATGAAGATTAGAGAGCATCTCATCCCACCCTCTGCCATGGGTTGGGACACCTCCCACCAGAGCAGGTTGCTCCAAGTCCCATCCAACCTGGCCTGGAACACTCCCAGGGGTGGAGCAGCTCTGGGAAATCCATCCCAGTGCCTCAGCACCCTCACAGGGAGGAATTCCTTCCCAATATCCCATCTGTCCCTGCCCTCTGGCAGTGGGAAGCCATTCCCTGTGTCCTGTCCCTCCATCCGTTGTCCCAAGTCCCTCTGCAGCTCTCTTGGAGATCCTTGAGGTACTGGAAGGGGCTCTGAGGTCTCCCTGGAGCTTTTCTTCTCTAGGCTGGACACCCCCAGCTCTCCCAGCATTTCATAGTATCATAGAGTGTTCAGGGGTTGGGATGGAGCTTAGACATCATCCAGTGCCAACCCCTGCTCTGGGCAGGGACACCTCCCACCAGAGCAGGTTGCTCAAGGCTTTAGCCAACCTGGAATGAACAGTGACAGGGTTGGGGTAGCCACAACCTCCTTGTGGCAACCACAACCTCCTTGGGGCATCCACAGCCTCCCTGGGCAACCTGTGCCAGTGTCTCACCAACCTCACAGGGAAAACATCTTCCTAATACCTAATCTAAATTTTCCTGTTCAATTTCTCCCCATTCCTCCTTGTCCTGTCCCTGCAGCTCGTAACCAAGTCCCTCAGCAGCTTCCCTGGAGCCCCTTCAGCTCCTGGCAGCTTGCTCTGAGGTCTCCACACAACTTTCTCTTCTCCAGGATGAACAGCCCCAACTCTCTCAGCCTGTCCTCATAGGGAAAATACTCCAGTCCTCTCATCAGCTTCATGGCCTCCTCTGGCCTTGCTCCAACAGTTCCATGTCCTTCTGATGTTGGGGCCACCAGCACAATGTGCAGTACATCAGTAAACTCAATGTCCTCATTTATTTCCCCTCCAGATACATTTTCCAGGCACACAAAGCCTGATGGAGCTTCTCTGTGTGACCACAAACCATCAAGGGCACAGCGACTTCCTCACCCAGGGAACTCCAGCACTGAACAAACCCAAGTGCCTCAACTGCCAAGAATAGCAACACAATTTAGGCCACTGCTGTGCTGAGCTGCAGCAGCTCTGGGGCTGCTCCTGCCAGCAGGATGTGCTCCAACACATGGTTTGCATCCTAGGGATGACCAGGGACCATCCTGCCACAGGACTGAGCTGCTCCTGGTGCCTCAGCCTCCCTATCTCACTGAGGTCACTTGAGGTGCGGAAGTTGAGCTTCTCCTGGTCCTTCAACCTCCTTATTTCACTGATGGTATCTGTGGAGCTGAAGTTTTGCTTCTCTTGGTGCCTCAACCTCCCCATCTCACTGAGGTCACTCAAGATGCTGAGGTTGTGATGCTCCTGGTCCCTCAACTTCCTTACTTTACTGAGGTCACTTGAGGAGCTGAGGTTGAGCTGCTCCTGGTGCCTCAACCTCCCTATTTCACTGAGGTCACTTCAGGAACTGAAGTTTTGCTGCTCCTGGTGCCTCAACCTCCCTATCTCACTCAGGTCACTTGGGGAGTTGCAGTTTTCCCTCTCCAGGAGGAGATTCCTCCATCCTTGCTGACACATTGCTGGGGAAGGACAAGCCAAAAGTCCAAATCTGCTGCAGAAATAGACATGAACATCCTGGTTTGCTACAAATTGTTTTTCTTCTCCTCTGTCCCACACCCTGGACAGCACAACCTCACACAGGAACCAGCACCCAAGGGCTCAGCCTTGACCTTTCCTCAGCAGAGCCATGAGATGGTGGATTTGGGGCCAAATTCCACCATTTAGCATGAGCTATTCCCAGACCACATTCCATTCCTTGGTTGTTCCTAGGAATCCACCTCTACAGAGCTGCTCTGAGCTGGTTTTGTGTCAGTTTTCCCACTTGGAGACATGTGGAGAGGAGGGTTTGGGGTTAATGGGACAGAAGTGATGCCTGGAGCCACCTGAAGTGACCTTCTGCAAGGCTGAGGAGCTCCAAGGACTCCAAACTCAAGTCCTCCAGCCCCAGGGATGTCCAGCTTAGGTGTCAAGGACCAGCAACTCTCCCTAGGGTTGGATTCTCCTCATCTTTGACTCTCCAGTGGCTCTGAAAAGCTTCTGCTTGGTGGGATGAGATGCAGCATCAGAGCAGCAACCCAGAGCTGTGGCTCACCCTGTTTGTGGAGCATCAGGAGGCAAAGAGATGCTGCAATTAGCCCAAATGAAGCTCTTCTGAGTCTTTGAAGGGCAAAACAAACACAAAAGAAGCAGCAGCACATCTTTCCCTCCTTGTATTCTTGTGGGTTTTGCTTCATATAAACCCCCCAAGATGAATTTTAAATCAGAAAAACCACAAGAAAAACTCTTGGAATGAGTTTAGTGCTCTGTGGGTGGGTGAGGTGACCTGACCCAGCACAGCTCGAACCCAGAGGGCACCACATGCCCAGGAGCTTCTCTTGGCAGTGGGACAAAGTCAGAGCAGGTAAAGCCAAGCCTGAAACTGCAGCCCAAGGCAGTGCTGAGAGATGAGTTTGGTGTTCCAAGCACCAACACCCCAGGCAAGAAACCTCCTCAGCCCCTACTGGGCAGGACATCTCCAGCCCAAGAGTTTTGGGTGCAAGAAGAAATTGGGATAGTCTGAAATGTGGTTTTGCTCTGAAGACCAAACTGAGCCCCCCAGCACCATCCCTCCTGGGGAAACTGAGGCCCAGAGGACAATTTACCTGGCAGACAATTACCCTGGTCAGGATGAGAGTGGAAACTTCTGCTCGTTCCCCTCGTTGGGACATGGGAAGGAGATTTTAGCTCCTTTTCAAGCCCTTGGGATAAGTGCCCAAAGGCTGCAGTGCTCTGAGGGTACTTTTCTTGTGTTAAAGCCCCACAACATGCTGATAGTTCTCTGTCCCAGCCCTGGAGAGAGATGTCACCTCTGTCCCCAATCCCTCACACCACCTAGTTCTAATTCAGCCCCCAATGAACCTCCCAAAGGCACAAAACCTCCTCCCAGGGCTCTGCTCGGGGTTCCTGCAGTGGCCTGAACTAGAAAAGTTGCCTGGTTTTTCCCCTCTTAAATCACCCAACATCTGCTTCCCTGAATCTGATTAACTAATATCCTGCAGCAGAAATCCCTGGCTGGGGGGGGGGGAATCATCATCATCATAATAGGCATAAAAAAATCCCACAGGAGGGAGAGTGACAGCGAAAGGGAAAGGTCATTTGGAGGGAGAAGTTGTGCTTTGCACCATCACAGCTCAGGAAATCAGGGAGGTGGGTTCCACTGACCTCTCTTTGTTCATCCAAACTGTGATTCCATCTATTCTCCTGCAATTCCAATGTCATTCCCACCCAGACCTGTCCTTGCATCCATCTGATTCCCACCCACCCTCCTTTCACCACCTTCACACTCCTCTGGTGGATAACAGCCATTCCCAAGGATTTCCAGAGAACTGGAGATGTTTCTCCTCTTCCTCTGTTGTTCCCATCCCCTCTCCATCACCCCTGGGATGCTCAAGGAGCTTCTCCCTCCCATTTCCCACCCACAACCAGCACCTCCAAGGACTTACCTGACCAGGACATGCCAATGCTCTCAGCATCTGGGAAGAGACTTATCAAACACACCCTAAGGTTGTGCAGGGAAAGCAGAGATGGAAAAAACAACTCCAGCCATACCCCTTGGAAGGTCCTTTTGGAGCTAATGCAGGCAATGTCATTTCAAAGGCTCTTCTCTAGTTGATTCCCTGTGGGATTGGCAGGCAGGGATGGGCTCGGGCAGGCACGGAGGTGACATCCAGCACCGCTCCGAGCCTCGGCCCCTCCAGCCCCATGGGACAGCTACAAAGAGCCATGGGGCCATGAGGAAAGGGACCTGGGAGGGTGCAAGGGACACCCTAGCCCCATGCTCTGCTCACCCAGGGAGAAGGGACAGGGCCACCCAGCTCCTGCCCCCAGCAGCAATCCGGGGGAGGATGTATGTCCTTCTGGTCAGAGCCACCTTTAATCCTCACCAAAGCTCCGGATGGAGCAGCAGGGACAAGTTTTGTCCGTGACGTGGCAAGGTCTGAGCTGCTCCCAGGGAGAGAGGGGGGACAGGGACCTGCTGGCACCCAGAGGACATTTCCAGCAGGCATTGAGGTGCTGTGAACAGGAAGAGATCAAGATGTTCTTCAAAAGAGGAGGGAGGGAAAAGCCCAAGGATTGGAGCATCCCCCCCTTGCCCACCTACCTCTCGCCCCGTGGCTGTGGGGACAGTGGGCTCTGTTCCAGGAGGGCATGGCCATGGTGCCACCACCACCACCACGTGGGACATGTTCCCGCCCAGGGGGACTGGGACCAGTGGCAGCAGCAGGTAGAGCTGGCACAGCCCTGGGGAGAGCAGCAATGGGGATGAGGGAGAGGAGGGATGTGCCCCTTGGTCATTGATGCCAGATGGGTGCTGGGTCAGCTCCCTGTGCTCAGCACCTCCAGGAACTCATTCATGGAGCCATAGAGTGTTCAGGGGTTGGGATGGAGCTTAGAGATCATCCAGTGCCAACCCCCTGCCCTGGGCAGGGACACCTCCACCAGAGCAGGTTGCTCAAGGCTCATCCAACCTGGAATGAAACACTGCCAGGGTTGGGGTAAGTGGGTGCAGA